AGACCCCAGGACAGTGCTTGTTGGCTTAGCCAGAACCATTGTCACAAAAATATCCCCCATTTACAAAATAATGTTTTGTTTTTAAGAAAAATTTTTGGAAAGGCTCATGCTCACCCTGTTCTGAGGAGGAGCACCCTAAGATAGTTCCTCTTCATAGCAGTGGAAAGAAATGATTTGTCTTGGCCTCAGGGGGGAATAGCTCCAAGCCTTAATCCTCTTGACAAATAATTAGAAGGCTGATCCTGGTCCAGGAGTTCTGGCCAGGCAGAGGGCCTGGGAAGAGAGGCGGGTGCTAGACCCACCCATGCTTTCCCCTGGGAACCTCCATCATCAACCCCTGGCCAGAGCGACCGGGAAGACTTACAAAGGCAGCGACCTGTGGCAGCACCCAGGTACGCTGGCCTCACTGGTCTGCCTTCCCCCGCCGGCGGGGGGCTGGCCCGGATGCAAACGGACGGGCTGACTCTGCAGGGCCGAGGCTGGTTGTGGTTCAACAGGGACTGGCCCTGTTAGGTCTGATGAGTATCTGTCTTTGACCTCTGGTGCTGACCTGTTCAGGTGACTCGGAAGGGGGCCGGCAGGGACTGCCGCGACTCTGGTGGCCGTCAGGAAGGATGTGAGTGCTTAGAGGGTGGGCCGCAGCTACACTGGTCTCCTGGCTAGGAACAGGGCACTCATGCCTCAGCCTTTGGGCTGTGCCGAGTACAAGCACCTGGAACTCTTCTCCTGCAGCCCCAGCAGCTTCACCCCTGCGGTGGGTACAAAGGGCACGGCGTCTACACTGCCCCCTGCTCCTTCGCCTGCCCCAGAGAGCACACCACTTTCACATCTGCCTTCAGACGCCCTGGCAGCATGGTGAAGGCATTCGGCCTTAAAAGACCTCACTGTTTATTCTACATCTTAAAAAACAGGAAAGGGCTTGCAGGAGGGCAGGGGTCACAGCCGAGGTGGTTTTGCTCTGCCTGGATTGGTGTGGCTCTGTGCATCCCCTGTCCTCCGTTTCCTTTCTTATGCCCATCTTTCATCCCACCTGCCTTGCTGAACAAGCCGTGAAGGTCTGGGGCTTTCTGAGAGCCTTCGAAGGCACCTGGCCTGAACGCTGATTTTCGGGGCCTTTCAGACTTGCAAGTATAAAGGAGTCCCTCCCCAGAGCCTTGGGCAGGCCCGTGCTTGAGGACTTAGCGCAGCTGTGGGTTTCTCAGCTGCTGCTTCTGGGTCATCACAGTTCATCCTGCAGGAGTCCCTGGGGCAGACGGGACAAGAGACTTCACTCCTATGTCACAGGTTTGGAACCTGTGACATGCCGGCTGGGTGGCAGTGCAAAGCTGGGACTTTGGCTCAGGTTTCTCGAGAACTCCTGGGCCAGCGTCTGTGCCCTGAGAACGCCACAGGGCAGGGTCAGGACAGCAGTGGGGCTGTTCCCCTGGAGTGGCTCATGTCAGGGCATCGGAGGGTTGCTGGATTCCAGTATCCCAGCCTCCTGCCTCAGAGACTCTTCTCTCGTACTTTTGGTTCTGCCTGAGGGACCCTTCTCTGGGATGAAGACCCCCTGTCCCATGGAGCCAGACACCTTCATGTCACATCCCAAGCTCCCCATTCCTCCCCAGGCCCTGGGACATTTTGCTTCTGGACAGCTTAAAACGGAATCGGCTGGCACTCTGCCTGTTGGCTGCGTTGAGTCCAGCCCTTGTTGCAGTTCTGAGGCATCCGCGAGCAGATTCCCCACCTGCCTCCTAGCTGGGAGTCAGCAGCGGGAAGCGGCTCAGAAGTTGGCTCCAATTTACCGTGGACCACGAGACCCAGAATGTGGCTGGAGGGTTGTAACAACACACATACATCCTCATAGTATTAAGCTAAATGGACACCACGCGCTCAGCTCTGTGCCAGGCACCAGGGAAGCCAGGAGGATGCTGACATGGAAGGCGGCAGAGTCTTGCCCTGCAGGCATTCATCACTCGGGCGGGGATGCACAGCAAGACCCAGGACAAGATAGATGGTAGTTTTACCATCTGTATGTAGGGCTGGCTGCCGAGTGTTCTCTAGAGTATCTGAATTTGTAAATGCTTGATGTGAGTGTTTCTTCATTGTTAAAAGCATAAGCCTATGTGGAAAAAAAGAAAACATTATGTGCGCACGCTCGCATACACACATACATACACACATGTGTATAAATGAGAGAGAGTGGTTTAAGTGCTAACTGAAGTTTGTCCTAAGCAGAGAAGGGCAGGGGTGATCACACTTCCAGGTGGAAGACTAGAACTTTGGATTAAAATAGTGTTGTTTTTTTTTTTAAGTCTCAGAATCGTTTCTTCAGATGACATGTTAGACTCATTCATTCAGTGTATAAGACAGGTATGCCAGGGGCTGGGCTGGTTGAAGGGAGTGGGGAGCCAGGGCTTCCCCCTTCTCTTCCTAGCCCCACTGCCAGCAGCCTCCCCACGACTCCACCCAGGAAGCATTGAGTCCTGATGAGGCTATGGCCCCACCATCCATAGTAGCACCCTAGGGCCCTGCCAGCCTCCTCGTACCATTGCTTGAAGAACTGGGCCACCCATCCTGGCAGATGGGAGGGAGAGAGAGCACTGTGCTCCAGCAAGACCAATAGTTGGTTGTCCTAGAAGAGCAGCAACGAGTGGTTTGCTGGTCCCTGTTACCAGTTGGAGAGCGTTTGGCGGTGCCCACTGTGTGTGGATGCCCATGTCCCCACGACATAGTAAAAACCCCCGGGGGTGAGGCCCCCATGGGGACACACAGAAGGTCAGAGGGTGGCACCTGGCTAGGAGCTGGCCACCTGTCAGGGGAAGGGGGAGCCCTAGCAGGGGCAACGACATGAAACAAAGCATGGACGAGCCGGGAAGCCTGTTCTGTGGTCCAGGCTGCCACTAATACCCTGTGAGCACCACACAGGTGCCCAGGGTCACGGGGAGCAGTGGCAGGGATGGAAGGTGGCACACAGAGGCGTTCTGATTGATGTCACAGTCGGTGCAGGGCTTCTTGTCAAGGAAGATGGTCCTGGTGGTGAGACCAGGGAAATCTTGGGCGCTAACCTGGGCCTCCAGGGATCTGGGACTGAGGGATCCAGCCTGAGGAGGGCTGTCAGAGTGCTTGCCCCAGCCCAGAAAGGATGTGGTCGGGTTGAGAAATTCCACTTTGGGTCGCTCATGCTAATGGAATGTGAGCAGCCGTGAGGAGAAGAGCCTGTGTTGGTAGAAGTCACTGTAACACCAGCTCAGCTTTCGGCCACTTCTCTTCCGGGCACATGGTGTGGTTGGATCCACCCCACGGACCCCTGCCGGCTCTCAGGGACACAGCCATCGAGCAGGAGGGGGCCGGGCCCTGGTGGATAGGGGCATGCTGCAGAGAAAGCCGGTCTGGGGAGATCTGGGAGCAGGGGAATGCTGCAGGGCTGGGCTGCCCAAAGGACTGTCCCGGGAACCAGCTCCCAGTCACCCTGCCTAGGGGATTCTGCTGTTCTGGGTGTCCCTGCCCCCTGGAGAGCTTGCGCTTGCACCAACACCTGTTCTAACCATAGCCTACCACAGTTCTCCTCCTTCCCCCAACTCTCAGCCACACCTCACCCCACGTTCCTTTTTTATCAAACACCAGTCCCAGCAAGACCCCCTTCATCCGTGCTTTTCCTTGAGTCTGATCCAAAACCCCAGCCCTGGATTCTGTGAGCAGTTTGCCATTTTTAGCACTAATTGTCACCTGGAAGGCCGAAATTGTGTCTTCATGTTCCTAAAGCAGAGGCTCCTAATACTTGTGGAGTGTTGGACCTTTCAAGAATCTGGAAAAAGGGACTGGGGGTGGCAGGACCAGTGTCCCCAGCAGCTCCCACCAGGGTACTGAGACCATGGATTTGCCCAGAAGCAGTGTCTTGAATGAAGGAGGCTCACCGCTCACCACCTGAGGAGAACCAGGAGTCACAGCCTTGTTTGGGCCTCAGTGGCTCAGCCAAGTTCTCCACAGGCTGCCAGGCAGCTGGTGTGCGTCAGTGTGGCTGGCAGTACCCGTGGGGAAAAGACTGTAGTATTTCCATACATGTTGGTAAATAGCCACTGCCTGGCCCTCATCAGGACCCTGGACCCCCCAACAACTGACGGGCAGGCACGTGGCATCACCCTGGTCATGCTGAGCCGGTGCTCTGATTGCATCTACTGTTGTCTTGGGCAGAATGGGGCAGCTGTCCGTCCACCCCTGCTATGGACCTGCCTTCTGGTGGGACCCTCTCTTCCCTGCCTCTCTCAGGGCCACATCCCCACTGTTCCCACTGTTCTTACCCTAGAGGACTTCAGGTTTGGGGGGGGTTGAAAGAGATTCTGTTGTTCTTAAACGGTGACTGAATAAGACTTCATGTCACTTTCATCCTATTGAATATATGAAGAGAACTGGCAATTTTAGGCTATTCGGTGAAGATAAAGGAAAAGCTGATCATCCTCGGGTGCTCAGGGTCAGGATACAGTTTGCATTCAAGCACCTGTTGCATGCTGGTGAGGAGGGAAAGCAGAACCCTGCCCTTTGGTGACCTTCTCACCCATCCCTTTCTTAGCCTCTTTCCTTGAGTCAGTTTCCTTCTGGGTCTGTCTCTGATATAAGGCCTGGAGAGCCTGTAAGTAAAAAGATAGCCATGTGTTCGGTGAGGAGGATGCTGCAGAGCTGAGGGTGTGGGGGGAGACCGCTACCATGGCAGACAGTGCTTGAGAGGCGGGCGGGATGGTACACGACCGGGATAAGCAAGAGCCACAGGGATGCTGACGAATGCAGAGGAGCGCTCTGTGCTTCGGCAGAGAGGATGGGGAAACGAGGCAGAGAGAGAGCACGTGATCCAGGGATACGGCTGCGGCCGCCATGCTTGTGGGCACTCTGCCTCCTGAGTGCGGGGGAGGTGGGCTGATGGGGGCTGCTCTGGTGGGGCAGAGTCCCTTGGGGTTCCACCCCAGGAGGAAAGCCAGGGGAAGGGGGCCCCTCAGGTGTTCTCACTGCTGTTCTCCCTCCCACAGCCTGATGTTCACCAAGGTGAAGCTGGAGCAGGTCCTGAAAGGCCCAGAGGAAGCCCTGGTGACCTGTAGACAGATGCTGCGACTGTGGCAGACCCTGTTCAGCTTCTCCCAGCTGGGGTGAGTGGCCTGTGCCTCCAGATGGAGTTGGGAGGTGGTGGTTGCCAGGGCAACAGTCCACAGCTGAGTGGCCATGATGCCTCGTGGGTGAGAGGGTGGTGAGGATGTCTGAATGAGGGCATGGGACTTACTGCTCCTGGGGCCTTTTACGGCCTGCCCTAATTTTAATCTTTTGACAATCCTCTGTGAAGGACAGAAAAAAAGGTCTTTAGGAAACTAAAGTTCAGGGGGGTAAGAAGGAAACGAAATCATTATTAAGCACCTCCCCCATCAGCTGGTTTTATCTTATTCACTGTTATAGTTTATCCTCACCCCCGGGGTTCTTAACCTGAGACCCAGAGACCTTATATAACGTATCAGAGCCACTCTCCTATGAGTGGTAGTGGTTGGGCTTAAACCTGAGTCTCCAGCCTGTGGAGCTTGTCACCTCTTTCCTGGTTCCATCTGTAAGCCGGGAGAGGAAGAGGAGGAAGATGAGTTTCTGAAGGGCCCCCCACTCACCTGCCATCTCCACACATCCCATCTCCTGCTCCAGCCCCCAGCTCTGAGATTCTCCTTGACCAGAGCAGGGCACTCTTGTCCAGGCTGAATCTGCAGAACGTCTTTGCTGACACCTGCCAAGACACCTGGGCTCAACTTGTGCAGCCCAAAGCAGAAATGGGCTTCATTTCTGCTCCACTCCCTTTGTCTGTTTGTGTCATCTCCCCACCGCCTTAGGGGACCCCACTCTGGTGGGCACTTTCACTGGGACTCTGGGAGCCTAGCAACCTCTTAGAGTCCCCAAAGCAATGTCTCTAAAGTTGGAATTTACAGAGGAGGCCCGAGGATAATCTGATCGAATAAAAAATCCTTGGGCAGGGTAGGGTCAGCCCTCTCTTTGCAGGCTTTGGGCCTGGGAGATTCCAGGGCAGAGCAGGGCAGTGGGTGGAAGCTGCCAGCAGGCAGCCCTGGAGTGAGGGACTTTTCAGAAAGGAACTGGGGAACCACCTGGCAGCTGGATGCTGTGAAGTGAGGGCCAGATTCTGGTGTGTGGGGGGCCCGCCTTTGGATGCCCCTCACCCTGCCGCTCACCAGCTGTGACAGGCAGGCAGGTGCATGGCCTGGCTCCACTTGCAGAGAAGAGCTGCAGAGAAGAGCTGCCCCAGAGCTGGCAGAGCGTGCCTCTCAGCCGGATGGCTGGCTGCCTGCTCATCTAGGCGATCATGGCGGGGCCCCTCTGAGCTGCAGCCTTATCTCCACGTGTAGGGCTTAGCCTGTGGCTCCCCTCCAGGAGCAACAGAGCCATAGAGCTGTCAGGAGCTCTCGATGGTGCGGCGGTCAGATTTGCCTTCGGGTCTTTTCAAGCCACCATCTTCACCCTTACCTCTGGAGCCCCCCCCCCGCCCAACCCCCACCCACTCAGGGTAGAGCAGGGCTCAGCCTGGCCAGCTAGTTGGAGGCAAACTAGTTGGGAGCAGAGAGTCAAATCCAATCCCCTCCTGGCTTCCCCAAGGATAGGGAGTGTTCTTTCTGAACCTGAAGCCACAGAGCAAAACCTTGTCACATCTGGGCTGGGGAGTCCAGGATCAAGGCCAGAATCCACAGCCTGAAGGTCCGGGCCTCCCTGCCCTGCCAGCCCCGCCTCCCACTCTGCGCCTTGGCCATCTTCCCCTGCTCTGCTCTGCCTGAACCAGCCCATGTGGCCCCTCGGGGAGCCCCCTGTGCCTTGCTTCTGGGGCCCCAGTGCAACACTCTGCATCCAGGTCTTTGTTAAATGCTTAGCGTGGACTGTCTCTTCTTGTCCAGCTGTCAGGTTCTTCAGGGTAGGGGCCTAGGACCAGGTGGCAAGAGGTCCCTGAGCTGAGCCGTTTCTGAAGCCCCTAGAAGAGCCCCCTTGGGAGCAGCAGCTGTGTCTGTGCATTTACTCTAGGCCGGCATGGGAGGGGCCCCAGTCCACATCCTCATTTCATCCTCACAACAGCCTTGTGATGTTGACATTCTCATGCTCGTTAACTGCACACAATAACATTTCAAGAAAAGAGAAGTAAGATCTAGAAAGGTTAAGTAGCTTTGCCAAGGGTCACACAGGTAAGGAGGGGCAGCCCCCAGCTTTCCCCCAGGGTCTCTGGATCTTTCACACTCATGTGCCTCCCGAGAATGAGAGGTGGGCATGAAGGGTGGGAGCCAGGCCTTTCCCACTGTGTTTCTGTGGATGGATTCCTCTAACGCCCATAAAGATGGCTGTGCACCCAGATGCCCGAGCTCCGTGTGAACCGTCATTAAGACGGAAGGATGCCCTGCTGTTCTTCGTGGGTCCACTCTGAAGGGAGGAGGCCTCTGGGCCTGCTTCCTCCTCTCCTGCCCTTTCGGCCTCAGTCCTCTGAGACTCCACAGTCGGCAGGTTAAGGCCACAGCACCCTTGGCAGGGTGCTGTCGCAGGCTGCTGTCGGGGGCTGTGTGCGCCCAAAGTTGGGCATAACCTTTCCGAGCTGGCGGCTCCCCCACACCCCACACTAAAAAAGAGGAGCCTCCCTAGCCATGTGGGAGCTGCAGGGACCTGGGGAATTGGGGGAGCTGTGATAAGATGGCCAGACTGCTTATCTGCCACCGAAGGGCCCCCTCCGGCTCCTCCAGGGCCACTCTGGCAGTCCAGGGTAAGGGACCCTGAGGCAGGGAGCGGCTTCTGGGCCTTCTGTGCCTGCAGGGCGGGCTGGTCCACAAAAGAACAGGCTTTCCATGGAAGCCAGTTCACAGCGCCTGCTCTGTACCTGGCTTTCTGCTGGACGCTGAGAGGATACCAAACGTAGAAGAGGGATTAGATGGACGGGAGGGTTTCTGGTCTTCAGCGTGTGTGTGTGTGCGTGTGCGTGTGCGTGTGCGTGTGCGTGTGTGCACACACGCACATGCACTGGGATCCACCCGTGACAGAGAGCAGGGAGGGAAAGTAGCCGGGGGGCAGATGAGCTGCTGGAAGCCTCTAGAGGGAGGCGGGGACCCTGGACCGGGTTCTAAAGGGGGCGGGGGGGTGGATCTTGAGAACAGCAGGAACATCCTTGGTGCCAGCAGCATGAGTAAGCATGTAGCTCTGGAAACAAAATGTGGTCACGGTAGGGACTAGTGAGGAGGCTGATGGCCTTGCAGGCGCACAACCTGTGTGGGGTGGATGAGGAAGGGAGCGGGCAGGAGGCGATCAGGAGTAAGGAGGGAGGAGTGGGCAGGAGACAATAAGGAGAACTATCATGTCAGTTCAGCTCTGGGATGAACCAGATTCTAGTAATCCTCAGCCTGAGCTGTGATCTGGCCTGCTGCTCTTCTCCATCCTTCCCAGTGATCTTTAGCTCTGTTCTCAGGTCTGAACTCAGCCCCAGAGCCTACCTGGCGTAAGGCTCCCCTCATTCTCCCTGCCAGCCCTCCACCTCACTGGGGCCTGGCCCTCCCTTGCCTTCCAGGGGCCTGGAAAAGGATGGCAGCCTCGGCGAGGGCCTCACGCTGAAGAAACAGAGTGGCATGCACTTGACTCTGCCCGACGCCCATGATGCAGATTCTGGTAAGAATGTGCCCCGTGGGCAGCTGTCCACATGAGCCCGCGTCTCCCTGTCCCAGCGTGAGCATCTGCCCGGTCCGGTGGAATCCATCCTGCCTCTGGCTGGCTGCTGCCCAAGGTCCTGTGCTAAGGAGCTGCCCTCGGGCCTCTTTAGGGCCCAGAGTGGCAGGATAGCTGCTGGGCCTGGGGCAGGAAGTAGGCAGATGGCATAGGCAAGAGAGGGACCCCATCCTCTGTGTGGGAGTAGGGAAGACTGGGGTGGGGAGGTAACTGAGGAGCACAGAGACTGTCTCCCCTTAGGCTGAGGCTCAGGGCCAAGGGGACTTCCTGGTGGTCCAGTGGCTAAGCTCCACGCTCCTGATGCAGGGGGCCTGGGTTCAGTCCCTGGCCAGGAAACTAGATCCCACATGCTGCAACTAAGAGTTCCCATAACAAAGATCCTGCACGGCCAAATAAATGAATTTTTTTAAAAGAAAAGCTCAAGGCCAAGGTCTGCCACGATAATGTCCTCAACAGATCAAGTCAAGTAGAAAGGAAGGGCTGAGCTTCTATTTCAGCCTAAATCTGACCGTGGTTTCCTGGAAGAATTCATCCTGACATCCATGGCTTGTGAAATTCAAACCAGTTTAGGATCTGCAAGCTTACATGTTTTAACCCAGGACCTGATTAAAGCGAATACCTTCCTCCAAAACACAAGCAAAGTTAGTCACGGGAATGAAAGTGTGAGGGAATTGTATTTGATGTCATTGCTCATCTTTTCCACTTCTGTGGCCATGAACCAACTTGCACCTTTGTTGTCAAGAGATGAAGCTGATTCCTGAAGCCACACCCAGCACCTGATTTGAGCTGAGGAGCGATGGGCTGGATGTAGAGCTGCTGACTCCAAGGAGGCAACGGTGCCGGGGAGTGTAGCGCCTTTGCAATTAGAGAGGGAAGAACTCTGGGCAAAGTTATTAGGACTCTATGAACACTCGCCTTATAAACTGAAGTCATCTGTGGTTTGCCCCAAGGTCTCCTGAGTTTATTGGAGCCTTTACTGCCTCTGAGAGAGAGAAGAAAAAAAAGTGCTTGCATTTCACCTGCACATAAACGTAAATGTCAACAGCTTGTATATCCTGAACAGGGACCCATGTTACTCAGGACTACCATGGGGAGAAGTTCTCCAGAGGTCACACGGTCTGGCCCAAGCTGCTACCCAAGAATCCTTCACAGCCCAACCTCCAATGGGACTTTTCTATAAAGAAATAATAGGCTCTTGTGAAAGAAAGTGAAAATATAAAAGGGAGAAAGGAAAATTCATCCATCATTCCACCATGTATGCATGCTAAGTCACTTCAGTTGTGTCCGACTCTGCAACCCTTTGGACTGTATTCCATCAGCTCCTCTGTCCATGGGATCCTCCAGGCAAGAATAGTGGAGTGGGTTGCCGTGCCCTCCTCTAAGGTACTTTTCTATAAAGAAATAATAGGCACTTGTGAAACAGAAAGTAAAAATATAAAAGGGAGAAAGTAAAAGTCATCCATCATTTCACCACTCAAACCTTAATAAGTGGCCTTTCAGACTTTCGGAAACATTCCTGTATTTCGTTTCTTATAAAACTGTGATCCTACTCTTTTGCAGTCTGCTGCTTTTTTACCAAACTGCATAATATCACCATCTTTCTGCATCAGTACCCATTATTACGCATTGTTATTTTAATGACTGCGTTATCCAGTATGATTATAGTCTCAATTATTTTTAATCAGTCCCCGCTGGTGGACATTGAGACCATTTCTGTCTTCAGTATCCTGGGCAGTGGTAGAATGCCCACCATTGCTGACGTTCACGGTGTTCTTCCTTAGGGATTGAAGTGGGCTTACTGCCTCACTGCCCCTCAGAAACCCACCCCTCTCTTGGCATGGGTGGGGGTATTAGATGGCCCCCTCCTAGTGGGTCTGTGCACTGTTTCGCGGCTGCAGGGCCCGGCCACCCTGCTGTGACTCGGCGTGCCCTGCCGCTCCTGCAGGGCTATGCAGCCACTGTCACCAGGCCTGCAGCTCAGCCTTTCCCATCTTGCTCTACAGGCTCTCGGCGGGCATCATCCATTGCTGCCTCCCGGCTGGAGGAGGCCATGTCAGAGCTGACCGTGCCCAGCTCGGTCCTGAAGCAGGGCCCCATGCAGTTGTGGACCACTCTGGAACAGATCTGGCTCCAGGCTGGTGAGTGCTCCCACCCCCTACCTACAGGCCACCCGGGCCCCCTCTGGCTCCTGCGGGTCTGCCCTGGCAGCCCAGGTGGGAGAGCTGTGTCTTGAAGAGAACCAGTTAGGACTTAAACCCCCGAGAACTCTTGGGAGAGCTAGAGGAGAAGTGAGGTGTGCTGGCCCCAAGAAAGCTGGGGGTCGAATTCATTGAAAGCAGAGGGCTAGGAACTCAAGGATCACCATTCAGGTGATGATCTCTCTTGACAGCTAGTAGGCACCATTGCCACCCACCCTGGAGTTGGACGGTCTGTTAGTGTTGGGGAGGCAGGAGGTTCAGAGTCCCACAGCTCATTTACTGTTCTGATCTGAAATGAGAGCTTAACACATCCATAGTAGGTGCTCGGCAAAGTTTAATTTGCGACCCTGTGGACTGTAGGGTCCACATCAGGCTCCTCTGTCCATAGGATTCTCCAGGCAAGAATACTGGAGTGGGTGTGAGAGGGGGGTTAGAATGAAACAAGAGAGAACCAAGACAGGGGATGTGCCTGAATGAGATAAAATGGTAGCAGCAGCGGCCAAAGTAAAAGGAAGGTGCTAGGGTGAGTGGAATCCTAAAAATGCACCAGGCCAACATGACCCCTTGACCCACGCATGAAGCTCCTCACCAGGTACTCATTACCCTCCTGTTGCCCCTCCCCCACAGCCTCCCACCTGCCCCGCCCCCGGGCAGTGTCTCTAACCCCGAGGAGAGAGAGAGAAGAGACAAAGGAGATACTCCCTTCCTGGGACCTGCAGATTCTGCAAGTCAGAGTTAGAATGTGCTTGTTGATTGAGGATCTCCAGTTCCCCACTGGTAGCTTCCACATATGGACACATTAGTATGCAGGACTCCCCCACTCTCCCCTCCACAGGATCTAAATCTGGGGGAAAAAATTGGACAAGGATTCATAAAAAGACTAGACCGGGAAGCATGTTAATAATGCAGATATTGCCCCAGTTAGCATATCGGGCTCCCTTGGGATGCTAGGGATGCGGGGGCTGTGTTCCAGTGTCGCTTGTTGCACCTGAAGTAGGAAGAAGAAATTTGAAAAATCCAGAGGGATAATGAGCTAGGCTTCCTCTGAGGCAAAGATGCCCTGTCATCTTCTCAGACGTGGAACTCTTAACAGCTCCTGGTGGGCATACTGGGGCCCCACCCCCACAGGGGCCTGTGGTAGAAAGCTGCACCCTCCCCTGGGGTTTCACCAGCTTCAAGGAATATATTGGCAGTGTACTGATGAGTGGTCGGATTTGGGAGGTGCATGCTACCTGCTTTGGAACTCCCAAGGCCTTTTGTGTTAATGGTCTGTCTTGTTGACTCATCTTAGCAGGTAACAACCGTATCTGCATTTTACAAGGCTGCTTGCATCTGTGAGAAATGCTGCTTTCTGCTAGGGGGGTAGTATGTTCTGGTAACTCCAAGTAAGGTTAAAGGCCTTTCTGAAGCCTGTAATTAGACTTGGGAATTTTGGTATAAGCAACATCCTTCAATAATTTGCACATTAGCCTTTCTTCTCTGGACATCATCCTAGACATTTGGCCCATGGAGAACTCTGAGAACAAAATCTGAATGCTTGAACTGTGGTGCAAGGTGAGGGTTGGGCTGTGTGGCATTAGGAGACAAGCTTGGGATGTGTGACCATGCAGAACAGCAGTGGCTTCTATAAGATAAACACTTCTCTTTCCTTCTGTAACAGTTCAGAGATGGCAGCCTTGACTAGGATGACAGCTCTGCTCTCCTGGTCCAGGGACCCAGATTCCTTCCGTTTTGTTGGCTTTGCTCTTCCTGCAGTGTCACTCTTGTTCTTGTGACCCAAGGTGGCTCTCCACCACATTCACATGCCAAGGCATAACTAGGAAGGGTGGGAGGAGGGGACACCCTGTCCCTAGAAGGACATGTCCTAGAATTTGCATACATCACTTCCCCTCATGATCCATTGGCCAGAACTCAGTCACATGACTATATCTACCTGCAAAGGATTCTGGGAGGTGCCATTATTCTGGGTATACATTTGCCCCATTAAAAATCAGGGTATCTCTCATTATAGAAGAAAGGAGGATAGACTGGTAGGTAGCTGCCACAGGCAAAAAGGGAAGCAAGAAGGTATCCTAGGTCTTTCATTCTGAGTATGGGAGGATTCTGGAGAATCCTCACTGCATGAGCCCCCTCCCCTCCTTTGGCCATCATCATCACCAGCAAGCATGTGCTGAGCACCCCTTGAATGAAGGACTGCCAGGAGCAGATCACCCTAAGCCTCTTCAGCCCCACCTGACCCAAGCTACAAGTGTCGTCATCAGCAACGCCCATGACCACCCCCAACCCCCAGCCTAATGATTCCTCCAGCTGCACCAGATTTCCAGGAAGAGAAAACTACCCCCCTTTATCATTTTAGAATGAGCTAATCCTCCAGTTTGGTTCAAGATTAATTGCATCCCAGTCTGTCTTGGCAGTAAGTTCCATCATTAACCTGCACTTAGGTTGGGAAATGTATCCCTCGTCTCCCAACTGTCCTCCTGCCCCACCGCTCCCGACTCCCCACCCTCTTCAAGACTCCTTCCCATTCCAGTCTGAAGTGAGAAGCTTCATGGAGGGTTTCTGCCTGAGAGATGAGTTTCAAAAATGTTGCTTCTTTCAGTGAGTTTCAAAAATGTCTCCTCTTTGGCAGTGGATTTGTGTGAAAAGGGGAGAATCACTCAGCCCCATAGATGCTCCAGGATCCTGAGTGTCAGGAGGTGCCTTCCAGAAGGGCAGGAAGACCCACCTTCCTCTCACTGCAGCTCGTGTCTCTGGGAGCTAAGAGCTAGAGAGGGGTGTGGGTGCAGGAAGAGTCCCCTTGCCCTGAGGGTCCCAGGGCTCACAGGCAGCTGTGGGCATTCCCTGCGTCGGGGGAAAATTGGCCTGAGTCTCAGCTTCCAGATGGCAGATCCACACCATCTTTGCACTGGTGCCCTGGCTCTTGAGATGGCCTTGGAAGTGGGTGCTGCCCCTGCTGTTGGCCAGGCAGCCTGGGGACCTGGGGTGGGGCAGTAGGGCAGTGTTTACAGATGAGACAGAAGCTGCCCCTGACCCTCGGTCCAGCAGGCTCCCCTGACTCTGATGTTTCCCTGTTTCCTCCTTATTTCTTCCCTTATCTGCCTCCACTCCCCCTTCTCTCCCAGCTCCCTGCCCTTCTCCCTCTGGCCTTATATGCCCCCTTCCCACGTCCTCTCTTCCTGTGCTCCTGCTTGTCCTTCTTCCCTCCTCTCTTGTCAGTCAACCCCTCCTTCTGAGTTCGTGAGGAGAGCTCCCAGGACAGGAAGTCGGGCGCCCAGGCCCACAGGGCCTTGACGCCATGTGGCCTGAGTCAGTGCGTCACACACCCCTGGGTCCCAGGCTAACCCTGAAACATCCCTTCAGACCTTTGGATTCTCTGTTACTCTCATGGCCATCCTCCCTTCAGCTGGTCTCCTCTCTCACTCCTCCCCTGCCCTCCCAGACCCTTCCTTCTCCTTTATTCTGGGCACCCATATAGGGAAGTGCTTATTTCCTTTAAGGAATACCTTTTGGAGACACCTCCCCCCACCACTGGAGCTCAAGGTGGATTCTTTTTAGGGTCTAACGTTACCTCCTCCCTGGAAAGCCTCTGCCCTTTTAGCCCGGGTAGCCCCCCTTCCTTTCTGGGGTTTACGGGGTGGGGGGCGCCTCTAGGAAGCCATCTCACCTGGGGAGGTGCCTCCAAGGCCCCAGGCCTGGCCCTGGGCCCTCTTTCACCCTGCTCCTTGGGACCAGCCGAGGAAAGCCCTCCTCCCAGCAGAGAGGGCTCGGAACTGGCAGGAACGACCCGGACAACTGGAGCCAGCTCTGGGTGCAGGGTTAGATCAGGATGCCTCAGAAAAAAATAATAAAAGGGACTGTTGCAAAGCTCCAGGGAACAGATGTTTTCCATTTGGAGCCTGCTGAGAGAAAAGCACAGAGGTGGGGGGGCGGGTGGAGAGAGATGGAGGGAAGAAGAAAAGTCGAAACACACAGACAGGAGAGGAGGTCAGGGCCAGGGTGGGAAGAGAGGAAGCCGAGAGGAGTGGAGACAAGGAGAGGGAGGGGGAGAGAGGAAGGACCAAGGGGATCAGAGAGGAGCCTCTGACTCTGAGGGGGCTGCGAGGCCCATTTGCTGGAGGGATGACCTTGTCTATGAGAATCCATGGAAAATCCAATGATGGCGGTGCTTACCCAGCCCTAGCCAGGGGAGACTGGGCTGGGTGTGGACACCTTGGGGCCCTGGTCACCAGGGCTGGGAGGTAGAGAATTGGGCAGTGGGTGGGCACTGTGCCATACGGCTCCTGCTGCAGCCTGAGGCTGGCTGGCTGGGGAGCACCATGTTTGGTAAAACAACTGCCCGGGGAGGCTGAGGCTAGAAAAAAGGGGTACATTTGCAGCCCTCCGAGCTGTGGGTCTGTGTGCAGGTCCGGGAACCCACCCTGGCAGTGGGCCCGCCGGGGGCTGTCTGTAAAGTGGCCAAGAGCCCTCACCTCTGGCTCTGGTCTGTGTCGTATGGTTGGTTTCCTGCCTGGCTGGTGATGAAGTCCATCAGAGCAGAGCAGCCCTACCTATTTTTCAGGGCTTGTCCTCTGTTGTGTGGCTGGGACAAAGCCCAGGGCCCCGAGGAAGGAGGGGGCTGGGGATCCTCATAATTGAAATGTGTTGATGTGCAGGCACTGTGAGGAGATCCCAAGGGAGGGACGGGGGGCCAGTCTCCAGAGAGGAGGCTCAGGAGTCAGGGCAGCAAGTTGTAAACACCTTAATGAGCTGTTTAATGGGCCAGGACCAGGTGGGCAGGTGGGCCAGGCCCAAGGAGGGCCTGCTGGGACAAGGTCCAGGGGAGGAGAGAGCCTAGCTCGCCTCTGAGCTCAGCTCCTGGCAGTGGACGAAAGAGCCCAGGGGCTGGTGTGGGACAGGCCTCCCCACCCCCACCACTCACACTTCCTCCCTCCCTTTTCCCCTGTGGCCCTGGAAAGACCTGCCCAGCTCTCCAGACCCAGCCCAGCGTGGCCTCCCTTCTCCTCTCTGCCAGGCCAAGTGCCCCTGTGCCTTCAGGCCCCAGCTCAGATGCTACCTCCCCCAGGAAGACTCCCCTGATCAAACCAGCCCAGCTGGCCCGACCCCATCAGGCCCGAACACTCAGCCCTGGCACTTGTCACTCCACGGCCCTGGTCACTCCAGTGGTTTGGTGGCTCAGTTGCTCCCCTTCCCCCACCTCCTCTCTTTCTCCTTTTCGTGGGAGGGCCAGGCACATGGTCAGTCCTCAGCAGCTGGATGCTGGACGCAGGTATGAAGGCAGCCAGTGGATAGCCCAGGCGGTGGCTCCGGTTCAGGCCATCTCTGAGGACAAGAGCTGGTGCTGTTCTCTCCCACCTTATCATGCGAGCCTGGCTCCTCTGAGTTAATTCTCTGATTCTCCCACACTCTCATCTCCAGGAAAGGAAAAGAGCACCCAGCTCAGAAAGCCTTCTGCAGCGTTCAAGCTGCTTTGATTATCCAGCGGATCTTAGGCTGCATTCACGCTGGGTGCCCCCGGTGCTGTGTGCACAGTCAAGGCCGTTATTAGGCCTCCTCCTGCTTCTTGTTAGAAACAGAAGGAGGGCTGCCTGGGCCTGGGTTTTCCACCTCTTTCTGGTAGCTTCCTTTCTGGTAGCACCCCCAGACCTGATCTGAACCAGTGTGACCTCAGCTTTCGGCCATTGCTGGGAATGGTTCTTGGCAGAGTCACGAGCCAGGCTCTGCTTGCCCTTCTGTGCTTCCTCCCATTGGTGTGGGGCACCAGCCCCCGAGGGGGGCACCCGAGCCCAGGCTGCCATGGGAGGCGGGCTGAGTGGGCTGCAAGCAACTCCAGGGCACTGTGTTTCTGACAGCACCTGCGGCGGGTGTGTACCTGCACAGCGTGGGTTTGAAATGTGCATTTGTGTGGGCTGGGCCAGGATTGGAGAAACTGCCCCGTTTTCTACTGATGTGGGGCTAGAAGGCACACTGGTTGTGGGGAGATCTTCCCCGCCAGTTGGTTGAAAGACGTTCTTCTCTGTGTGATGGAAAGTCCTGAGTCTGGAGGGAGGTCGGGAGCTGCACCTTCTACCAAGGGGCTGGGATGAGGTCCTCCCTCTGTCAGCCTGGGACACGGGAGAGAGCCTGCCTCCCTCCCAGACCTATGAGGATGAAGTAAGAGAAGATGCTTGCCTGGCCCAGGCTCCACAGTCAGCTCTCAGTGTATACTGGTGGCTTTCTAGCTTCTCCGTGTGAGCCCCAGCCCTGCCCATTCGCAGGCGCCCTCGGGGCTTCCTTCCTGTCCCATCTTTGGCAGCATCACGTGGCTCTCCTCGTCCTGATGATGCAGGTAGAGTTAGCTCTTCAGTCAGTTGGCCTCCCTGGGGAGCCACCTCATCTGCCCCCCACCCTGTCCCCAGACACATGGTGAACAGATGAACAAGTGATGAACAGGACCTGAGCAAATACTTAGCTGCAGGGGACCCCACTCATGCCCCGACTGCCAGGCTCTGAAGTCAGACAGCCCCGTGCCAGGCTCTGAAGTCAGACAGCCCCGTGTGAACCCTGGCTCCATCACTGTGTCTCCCTGCGGCATTAGGAGAGTTCCTTAGCCTCTCTGTGCCCGTTTCCTCCTCCCCGAAGTGGGTAATAGAAGTGATGGTCCTGTAGGGTTTTGTGAGTGTTGGCAGAGTTGTTCTGCGTGCAGCACGTGGCATGAACCTGACACAGGGTGAGCACTCAGAAACCATTGGCTGGCGCCACGGCCGTGCCCCAGAGTGAGCCCATCCTGTGCTGCGTCTCGGGGGGCTGGTTCCATCACCCAGGACCAGCTGCTGAACTCTGGGGGCTGATGGTCAGATGTGGGAGGGGGCCACCGTCTCCGACTTCTCCCGCCGCCTCACCTGCCCTTCTGGTTTGACAGCCGAGCTGTTCATGGAGCAGCAGCACCTCAAGGAAGCGGGCTTCTGCATCCAGGAGGCGGCGGGCCTCTTTCCCACCTCACATTCCGTGCTCTACATGCGGGGCCGGCTGGCCGAGATGAGGGGCAGGTTGGAGGAGGCCAAGCAGCTGTACAAGGAGGCGCTCACGGTGAACCCCGACGGCGTGCGTATCATGCACAGCCTGGTGAGTCAGCCCCGCACCCCCTCAGATGAGCCCCCTCCCCACCTCACCCCTCCCCTGCCTGCAGTGCCCTGGCATCTGTGGGAGACGGCTTCCTCCCTGCCCTCTTGGGAGAGCAGAGGCCATATGGCGGGCCACTCCCCTTCAATCCCTGGCATGAGTGGATGAAAAAATCTGGGAGGGTTGGCTGATTCTTTGTGACTTCCTCTTGGTGTGTTTCTGTAAGGCCGTCTAGTCCCAAGGGTTTTCACTGTAGGTGCTCATCAGGTCCCTGCCCTGCAGACTCTAGACAGATACCAAAATGCTTTTTTTTTTCATCGCCAGGCCCTGCCTGATCACGGGACTGGCTCCCCCATTTGAGAGGAGCCCCGTGCCTCCTTGTGGGATTCAGGCAGTGTCTTGGGGTGGACTGTTGTGTCAGGCCTGACTCAAGCACACATGGAGAATGGCCTCGGGGTGCTAAGAGGGGCCAACAGCCCCTAATCTTAGGACATGGAGGCCAGGGTGTGGGTGCCCAGGGTTCAGTGACTCTCCTGTGGGAAGGCTTGGCAGTTGGGAATAGGAGGTTGGTTCTTTTCTCTGGCTTTGCTGTTCTTTTCCTGGGTGGTCAAGGGCAAGTCAGCCCCTTCTCAGTTCAATTCAGTCACTCAGTCGTGTCCGACTCTTTGCAACCCCATGGACTATAGCACAACAGGTCTCCCTGTCCTTCACCAACTCCCAGAGCTTGCTCAAACTCACGTCCATCGAGTCAGTGATGCCATCCAACCATTTCATCCTCTGTCATCCCCTTCTCTTCCTGCCTTCAATCTTTCCCAGCATCAGGGTCTTTTCCAATGAGTCAGTTCTTTGCATGAGCTGGCCAAAGTATTGGAGTTTCAGCTTCAGCATCAGTCCTCCCAATGAATATTCATGACTGATTTCCTTTAGGATGGACTGGTTGGATCTCCTTGCAGTCCAAGGGACTCTCAAGAGTCTTCTCCAACACCACACTTCAAAAGCATCAATTCTTCGGTGCTCAGCTTTCTTTATAGTCCAACTCTCACATCCATACACGACTACTGGAAAAACCACAGTTTTGACTAGATGGACCTTTGTTGGCAAAGCCCCTTCTCAGGACCTCAGTTTTACTTACCTATGCAGTGGGGACTCTGGTCCAGGGAATGTCTCTGACAGGTGATTGAGTAGAACCCAGGGAGGACTCTTTCCTTGCCATCCTTACTTGCTTTCAAAGAACAGGTATCAGGATAAATGTAATGACCTAAAAGTGGACAGGCCTGCATGTACAGTGATTTCTGAAGTATAATTTAGGAGCACATAGTTACAACACATTCGGGGTCTGGGTTCCACCTCGATGCCCTGCCTTAAGAACTCTCTGAGGAGCACAGCTGTGAGGGTGTCACTGATGTCTGCCCCATGGAGAACACGGCAGCCCCAGGGGAATGGCTCCAGGTGGCTGAAGGGTTATCACTGCCACAAGGGGTCTGCTTTTTTCCTGAGTAGATGCAAGGAGTTAGCTGTCAGCTCAGCATCAGGAAAAATGGTTTAACTCTTGGCATAGTCCAAGGACAGACTCGTGAATCATGTGGTGAGGATGCTGCCCAGAGAATGTAAATATCACATGGAGGAGGAGCTGGACCAGGTCATCTTTATAAGTTCCTTGCTAACCCCAAGAGTCCTTGAAAACAGGGATTCCCATCTCAGCCTGATCTCTGAGTTCCTAGCTCAGGCCCACGTAGCAGCATCTCAGCCTGGGCCAGCTTCTCTCTACCTGGTACTGTGTTGCCTTCCAGTCTGCTCAGCAAATGTTTGTTTCTTGCAAAGCACATTGTCCTTCCCTCTGCACTCCAGACATTAGCTTCTCTGATAGATGCCTCCCCCAAGGTCACATCCAGAAACTTGATTAAGGAGCCAGAGGATGCAGGCCCTGTCATTAGGCCTGCAGCCAGGCAGACGGCTGCCTGCCTCTACCGTCGCAGATATGAGCCTACTGTCTCAGCCCCCTGGAAAAAGCCAGCCAAATCCGGTAACAAGTACAATTTTGAAGCAAGTGTACCATTTTTCATTTATGCTTATTATTGTTTGTAGCTATTTTCCTGAAATTGAGGCAGTTTCCAAGGGTGGGTTTCCATGGTAACTGAGTAGCTGACCAGAGTGGCTCCCTACAGATGTTTCTGAAATGGCCCCTTTTCTCTTCCTGGGGTGCCTTGCTGATTTGATGCAATCTGAGAAAGGACTGCCCACTGTGAAGTTACAGGCAACCAGAGGGACATCGGCTCCAGCGTAGGCAGCCTATCCCCTTTCCACATGCTGTGTTCCTGCCAGCATCCCACACATATGCATAAAGAATAGCAAATTTCAAGCCTGGGGAAGATTTACTAAGCACTCTTTTCCTAAAGACACATGAACACTTTGGTGTATTGGTCTCCAGCATTCCCTGATCCCAGTGTCTTCCTTGTACTGTCCTGAGACTCAGAACATCTGGAATCTAATCCTAGCTCTGGCCCTAATTCACCTGAGTGATTTAGGAAAAGACACACTTGGCTTCCACGATCCTAATGTCTCCTTTTATAAGTGAATAATGAGCTTCATCATTCCTAGACCAGCGGTGTTATAATCAAATGAGCTGATACATGAGAAAGCACTTCTGAAAGTCTGCAGTGCAGTATCAGAGAAGGCAGAACACAGCACACACACCACACTCTCTAGTCCCTCACCCAAGACAGACATCACTAATCGGTCACAGCACTTTTTCCCACTGAGCACAGATGGGATCTTGGGATCTTTTTCACCATGGTACTGCATAATGGGAGTCACTCCCCGTTGGTCTGAGTCAGCTTGGCACTTATGTAAGGGATTCACAAATCCCTTAGATTTGATGCGAATCCCCAGGATTCACAAATCTAAAAATAGTAGAGAACGAAAGAGACACAGTAGTTGCCTCAGCCTGAATCTGATGCATCCTTGGAGAACTGTCCAGAGAAAGGAATATGGTAGGGGGACCAGTACTCCCCCGCAACTGGACTCATTGCCAAGGTGGGTTCTCAGGGAGGAGGACATCTTGGCCTTATGATGCCACTGTGGCTCTCTGAGGACAGTGCCCTTGCTCAGTACAAGAGGAAGGAGAGACATCCCTCTGCCCTGAGAGCACAGCCACCCATAACCCGGCTGGAAGGGCTCTGGGTCCCTCAGTGAGCCTCTAACTTAGTGGCTGAGCCCCACACTCTGAGTTCTAGAGAGAGGAAGGCAGAGATACACTCAGTGCGCTGTGGGGATGCCCGGCGCTGCCCTATAGTTCTGAAGGCCGGATGGTCAATCCCCAGGAGGCCGGCCTTGGGGCCTCTCTGGAGCTGTGTACATGGGACAGGGGATTTGGAGATAGGCTGGAGAAAGCCTCTCAGAGGGGAAGGCTATTGCTTTCAGGAGCCGGGCTCCAGGCTTCCAAGAATAAGAACTTTTGGCCCAGAAGTGTGTTCTCTGCTCTCCCCGTGCTGCTGCCCTCCCAGCCTGGGACGTGATGGAGGTGTTTCCATGGTTCTGGCTCCACTCTGGGCTCATTTCAGGCTTTTCCCCCCAGATCAGGCAAGAAAGAGAGACCTCTCTGGCAGGGTCGTGCCAGTGAAGAGTCCCTGCCATGCACATAGCAGTGTCCCAGCGGAATCTGTGCTGTCAAGCCCTGATGCCGCAGGCTGCCACCTCCTCCAGGCTCAGGGGTGGCCAGGTGGCTTTGAGAGTCCACCAGGTTTGGGAAGAGAAAGGCATGCTCTCTGCCAATGGAAATACTTGGTGAAACCCCAGGAGCAGGTCCTGACAGTCTCTGCCAGCTCAGTCTTTACCTCCCCTCCAGGTAGCCGGAAACCCCACTCATTTGGCCTGAGTGCTCAGAACTTAATTTACCTGCAGAAGAATATGTTGCGTTGGCCATAAAGTTCGTTTGGGTTTTTCCATCAGATGATGCAGACTAACGAATGTTTTGGCCAACCCAATAGTTATGAAGGGGTGACCTGACCTGTACCTGCCTGCCTCTGAAGAAACCTGAGAAAGAAAGCTGGGTACTTCCCGAGACCGGCAGAGACCTTGGCCTCCAGGTGACACTTTTTTTTCAGAGAGGGCTCCGCAGGCGTGGCCGAGAGGGGGCTTCCTAGGAAGCAGGGATGCTGAGGGAAGGCACGGAGCCCAGCAGTGACATCAGGTCCCTGAGCACCTCCCAAGAGGGGGCTCCTTTGAGGTCACCTGGCCTTAGGAGAAGGAGGGTCACTAGCCCCGGCCGTCCACCGCCTCACTCTCCCTCCCCTCCGTGTGGCTGGGCCGCGAGAACGGATGCTTCGGTGCAGCCTGTCTTACTCCAGGTGCTGCTTGAAAGCTTCAGCCAAGAGCGGACAGCCAGGACTCCCTCCTTGCCGCCTGTGTTTGTGGGTGGCGCCCCACCCTCCTCTCTACCAGGGACAGGTTCCCGGGGAGTGGCATTTCCTGGCTCCTCTCCTGCCAGGCTGCCCTGCTCCTCACAGGCCCCTGTTCTTGGTGATGCTTCTTTCTTGGGACAGAGCTCCAGCTCCTGCTGCCCCATCTTCCCAGAACCCTTTCCTCCTCAGGCACCCCAACTGAAGCAGTCCTGGCCTCGTGACCTGGCCTGTTCTCTCTCCAGATGACCCTGGAAAGCCAGGAAGACAGTGTTTCTTTATCTCTTTTTCCCTTTTATTTTGTATTGGGATGTAGTCGTTAACAAGGTGGTGATAGTGAAGGGACTCAGCCATACATGCGCATGTATCCATTCTCCCCCAACTCCACTTCCATCCAGGCTGTCACGGAACATTGAGCAGAGTTCCATGTGCTATACAGTAGGTCCTTGTTGGTTATCCTTTATAAATCTAGTGGATATATTTGTGTTCAAATGTAACTCCCTAACTATCCCTTCCCCCAATCCTCTCCCCCAATCCCCCATAATCATAAATCATAAGTTAGTTCTCTAACTCTGTGAGTCTGTTTCTGCTTTGTAAGTTCATTTG